CTAACCTACACATCCCTGGGCACTATGGGACAGTGTCCCATGGCTAACCCACCCTAACCTACACATCCCTGGGCACTATGGGACAATACCCCATGGCTAACCCACCCTAACCTGCACATCCCTGGGCACTATGGGACAATATCCCATGGCTAACCCACCCTAACCGACACATCCCTGGGCACTATGGGACAATATCCCATGGCTAACCCACCCTAACCTACACATCCCTGTGCACTATGGGACAGTATCCCATGGCTAACCCATCATAACCTACACATCCCTGTGCGCTATGGGACAGTATCCCACGGCTAACCCACCCTAACCTACACATCCCTGTGCACTATGGGACAGTATCCCACGGCTAACCCACCATAACCTACACGTCCCTGGGCACTATGGGACAGTATCCCACGGCTAACCCATCATAACCTACGCATCCCTGGGCACAATATCCCATGGCTAACCCACCCATCACTGGGCACTATGGGACAATTTCCTCATGGTTAACCCACCCATCTTTGGACTGCGGGATTAAACTGGAGCACCCAGAGGAAACCCACACAGACACCGGGAGGACGTGTAAACTCCACTCAGACACAGTCGCCCGAGGGTGGGATCGAACCCGGGTCCCTGGCGCCATGAGGCAGCGGCGCTAACCACTGAGCCATCCTGGGGAAACGTGGAATCGGAATGGGGAGTACAGGCTAACAGTCTGCACGACATGAATGTGATGTCCAATCCCCCCAGCCCCAAACTCCGACCCTCAAAGATCTGAGGGAAGAAGGCACGCGCTCTGAATGCCTTCCTACCCAACCTGAGCCAATTATCTACCCTTCGGCCCTCCTGTTCCACAATTAATAAATGGCTTAAATCTTTAACTGGTTATTTTATTGATGGTGCACTCTTCTAAACGAGAGAAAAGAAATCTTTCGCGAGGATCTCTACGTTGCAAAAGACTTTCAGATGTTAAATCTCCGATTTATTATGTTTTCCTTGACCAATCCTTACCTGCATGTCCATAGGGAGCCACTGTGGAAAGGCAAGAAATAAAAATAAAACAAACAGAGAAAGGCATTTGAGAATGAATCAGAGATCAACTGGTCGATTTTGAGATAAATGCAGACCTCAGGAACGTAGCCATGGGGACGTAAAGATGCGCAGCGCAGAGACAGACCCTTCGATCCAACTCACCCATGCCAGCCGGAAATCCTAAATTAATCTCGTCCCGCTGGCCCGAAATTAGTTTGTGCCTGTGTTTCTTTCTCATTCGTTCGCGGGATGCGGGCATCGCTGTCTGAGCCAGCGTTTATTGCCCATCCCTAATTGCCCAAGGGGGCAGTCAAGAGTCAACCACATTGTTATGGGTCTGGAGTCGCACGTAGTCCAGACCAGGTAAAGATGGCAGTTTGAGTCCCTGAAGCAGATGGGTCATCATTAGACTCTTAAGTCAAGATATTTTTTAAATTAAGTTCAAATTCCACCATCTGCCACCGCAGGGGTTCGAACCCGGGTCCCTGGACTTTTCGTCAGGTTTCTGGATTAACAGCTCAGTGATAATACCACTAGGCCATTTGGGTAGGCTGCTGGTGGGTTGGGAGGCCGGAAGTTAGAATCTGGTGTTTGGAAAATGGGAGGGGAAATGTGTCGGGGGCTGAGTGGTGCTGCGCGGTCCTTTTAAAGGATGATGTGCTTTTTCTGCGGTTACAGATTTAAAACGGATGCCTGTGAGCAGCAACTGGACGGTTTGAGAGTGAGCACAGAGCGCTTGACTTGAAATACCTGCATTCGAAGGCCGTGCAGTTGGAGGGACAGCTTTTTTAACCAAGAGAACACACTTCTGAATTTAGACCATCAGTTCTGCTCACTTCGGTACCCAAAAAATCCATTCGATTTTAATCTGGTGGTTTTGACAACCTAGGACCCAATCCTATTGTTGGAGACATCGAGGTGTCATCAAGGGTGTAAAAGAAGGGGGTCAGTTGGACGAAGAGCAGAGAGTTAACTGCCATCTGCCGGACGCTGCGGCTCTCAGCTCTCAAGAGTGAATCCCTGGCTCTCACAGCCTCCTCTACGTCTTTGGTAAAGCGCCATCCACATAACAAAATACCCACGGCACGACAGCTTAATATTCCTGATGGAAGCAACAACAGAGAAGGCTCGTGCCATTCAGGAAGACGCATAACCTGGCTGTAATTTCGAGAGACTAAATTCTATTTTTCTAGAGATTTTATATAAGTGAGACTTGTATATATTGGGACAGCACAGCATCAGAATCCAGCTGCATTCGGGAATAGTTAGCAGGTAGAAGGGATTTATTCGATTTGTTAACAGTTTAGTATAATTTGTTGGAATTAGATCAAGAAATGGTCGCTTGTTGATTATACACGCACCACCCCCTGAGTGATAAAGCTGCCCCTCAGGTCCCATGCCCCCCCTCCTCAGTTTAAACCAATGCCCCTCTACTTTTGGACTCCCCTACCCTGGGGGGAAAAGACCTCAACCTATTATTCGCCC